GCTGAATGTTGCTGTGCCACATCCCAAGGCCATCCCTATTGTAACGGTGTTATGTTATTGGACTCAATGCCCCCTGTTCAGTCTTCCTGTTTACTCTGCATTAAGTTTGTATGATGCTGCTTAGTGTCCAACTCGGTTTTTGATGCCTGATGTTGTCCAGATATGAATGTTTCTTCTTCTTCTTCTCTATTTTTTATGGCAGTTGGCAAACAGCTTTTTGGTGCATTACCGCCACCTTCCAGATTGGAGTATGGATTCAACAATCTATTAAATTCTTCCTAACACACCCGTTTTTCTTAAAAAAAACGAAAACACTCCCAAAGACTACATCCCGAGACGACCTTTGAAACAAATCCCCAATATCCAATTTTATTTTATTCCTGCCTAACTCATTACATAACCTCTCTCTTTCTTGAGTATATTTATTACATTCTAAAAAATATATTGGACTGTTTCTAATTTCCCACAATTACAACACCACGTACTATGTTTATTAATTATTTTAAGATGACTATTTAACCCTGTGTGTCCAAATCTTATCCTAGATATAATATCTTCTTCTTCTTTAATTCTATTACATTTTCTTAATTCTCCAAACTTTTTCTGAATACTATAATAAAACCTAGCATTCCTTCCTTTATCCAACTGTTCCTGCCATTTCTTTTTCAAATACAATTTAATAATATTCTTTACCACATTTTTACTTATTTAAATATTTAAATCAACAAGACCCTTTTTTACTGCACTCTTCGCAAAACCATCAGCCAACTCATTTCCAATAACGCCAATGTGAGCAGGAATCCACACCAATTTAACCTTAGAACCCCCATTTCTAATCCTAAAAATTGAGTGCAAAACATCCACTACAATATCTTGTCTTGATTCTGACTTAAATTCTAGAATACTTATTAATGCACTACTGGAATCTGAACAAATCAAAACCTCCCTCCCTCTTGTTTCCTCAATCCATTCTAAAGCCATTAAGATTGCCATTAATTCACCTGTATACACGGCCACTTTATCTGTTATTTTTTTATTCTTCATAATTACAAATGCTATACCTACTTTATCATTTAATGTTTTAGAAGCATCTGTATAAATTTGTATATATTCTGAATATTCTTTTTTTATATAACTTTCCACCTCTTTTTTTTCTAACTGTCTCCCTTTCTTTAATAAGTTTAAATCAACTTCAGGCTGTCCAATGATCCATGATGGAATAGCCGGAATAACAATCACAGGACTGATTACAAAGTTATCTATTCCTACATCTTTTACTTTATTTATAATTGTCCATCCAAAACTATTCATTTTTTTCTTTTCTTTTTCTTGACAAGGTTGCAGTGTAGTATATGGAGGATGAATTTCAGTATGTCCTCTAATATTTACCCAGTAGTTTATGGCTAGTTGTTCTCTCCTGAGCTCCAGTGGCATCTCACCCATCTCCACTTGTAGAGCTGAAACTGGGGGAGTTTTCATCGCTCCACAACAAAGTCTTAGAGCCGGATATTGTATTCTATCTATTTTCTTTAATAAACTGATTGAAGCTGAACTGTATACTATACAACCATAATCAAAAATTGATCTAATTAGTCCAATATATACTGTCTTTAATGCTTTCCTATCCGCTCCCCAATCTTTTCCTCTCAAACATCTCATTATATTCAAAATTCTTTTACTTTTTTCAACTAATTTATCTATATGTATCTTCCATGTAAGTTTTTTTATCAAACCAGATACCCAAATATTTAATTTGCTCTATCCTTTCTACATCATCCCCATATAATTTGAGATTAACATTGTTATTTAATTTTCTATTTGTAAAAACCACAAATTTAGATTTAGATGTTGAGAATCTAAAACCCCATTCCAAAGCCCAAGCTTCTACCTTCTGTAATGCTTCTTGTAGTTTCTTATTTACAAACTCTATATTTTTCCCCCTCTTCCAAATAATACCATCATCTGCACACAATGAGATTCCAAAAGATGTATCTATACTACTAAAAATATCATTAATCATTATACTAAATAGAATAGGACTTATTATACTACCTTGGGGGGTTCCATTTTCAATTTGATATTTTGAACTTATTTCCCCACCTATTTTTACTCAAATACTCCTTTCAGTTAAAAAACTTTTTATCCATCTATACATTTTATCTCTTATACCTATTTGTTTTATTTTTAAATCAACAATCCTTCTTTCCATAACATATCATAAGCCTTTTCCACATCCAGGAAGACTGCTAGCACACTTTCCTTGTTAACCTGAGCCCGTCTAATTTCATGTTCCAGACATAATGCCGGATCTATTGTACTTCTACCTTTCCTAAATCCAAATTGATAAGACTTAATTTTTCCTTTAGATTCTAAAAAATAAATTAATCTGTTATTTACTATTTTTTCCATAATTTTACCTATATACGATGTTAACGCTATTGGTCTATAACTTTCAGCTGAATTAGGATCTTTAGCAGGTTTACAAATGGGTATAATAATGGCTTCTTTCCATTTATCAGGTAATATCCCTTCCTCCCACACCTTATTATATAATTCCAACAATATTTCTTTACTTATATCACTAAGATTATTTAACATACTATAACTAATTTGATCATTCCCAGGAGTAGATTTACTAGAATTTTTCAATGCTTTATTTAATTCTAACAAAGAAAACTTCATGTTAATAAAATCCTCACAAACATCATTATGGACCAATTCAATATCCTTT